AAGTATGTATGTTTGCCTCTGTGTCTTAGGTCATGTGTCTCTAGAAATTTGTTAATATCTTCAAGAATTTCTAGCTTATTGGAGTATAAATTTTCAAAACAGTTTCTGACGATCTTCTTTGGATTTCAGTAATGTCTGTGGTGATATTTTTTTCATCTATAATTTTATTAATTTGGGTCTTCTCTTTATTTTTGTTAGTTTGGTTAAGTGTTTATCAATCTTGTTTATTCTTGCAAAGAATCAACCCTTTGTTTCATTGATCCTGTGTATTTTTAAAAATTTTCAATTTCATCAATTTTGGCTCTCAATTTAATTATTTACTATCATCTACTGATTTTTGGTGTTAGTTTCTTCTTTTTTTCTAGGGCTTTGAGGTATAATGGTTAGATTTTTTTTTGTTATCTACTTTTTTAATGTAGAAACTCAGTGCTATAAACTTTCCTCTTAGAACAGCTGTTACTGTCCCAGAGATTTTGATATGTTGTATCACTATTCTCATTTGTTTGTAAGAATTTTTTTATATCTGCCCTGATTTCTTCTGCTTTCCATTTATCGTTCAAAAGAGTATTATTTAATTTCCAGGTGTTAGAGTGTTTTCTTTTTAAAATTTTATCAATGATTTCTAATTCAATTTCATTCTGATTTGATAGGATTCAAGGAATTATCTCTATTTTTTTGTATGTGGTATGAAATTTCAGAAGGAAGTAGGGGTTATGGGATTATAGATTATACAGTAGATGTTGGCCCTCTGCCATCTCTCTCCACGTGGTCTCTTGTTCATTTGTCTACCATAAGCTATTTAAATGGCTGATGACCTCCAAGAGGGTCAAATGGAAGTTGTAAGAACTCTTAAAGAATATGCCTTTGAATTCATACACATAAYATTATTGTCAGTTATTTTTGCATATGCTCAACCACACTTGAAAACATTGACAAAACATTCTACCAACATGGTTGTAAGGGAAAAGAAACATGTTATTGGTGTTAATGAAAAATTATACAATATCTATGGAGGGAATCTTTATTGGTACATTATAATTATACACAAGATAATTATGAACAATTATATTRTGTATCTTATTATACATAATTCATACATAATAGGACTCATTGTTAAATATTTGTATATGCACATACTATAACAATATAATTTTGTTCTATTTCCTTCTTTAATAAATAAAAAAAATCTACAAATGCAGTTATCCTTTGACCAAGATAATCCTACTCCTAGTAATTAACCATAAGATTTATTAATGGAATTATCCAACTGAAGAAGTGTGCAGAAGAACACAAAAATAAAATAAGAGAACCTCAGGTACTTGTGGAACGAAGTCAAAAGATCTAATGGATGTGAAGTTGGGGTCTGAAAAAGAAAAAAACAGAAAAAATGAGATAGAAAAAAATTGAGAAATAATTACTGAAAAATACCAAATTTGGTAAAATTATAAATTTACATATTCAAAAACTTCAGTAAATCTCAAAGAGAATAAAAACAAAGAATGGTATGTCTAGGTGCATCACAATCAAATTGAAAATTAATATGAAGTAAAAATCAAACATGATTAAAGGAGTCAGGCATGAAATACAAATGTGTCCAAAATAATCATGGCTCACATGTCTTCTAAGCATGTGCATTTATGTATCTTAGGCCACAGAGTGAAGCCTCATTATTCATGATAGTGAAAGTGAGACTTATGAAAATCTTGGGGATGAATATAATGTAATATAATCCTTTTCAAGAAGAACAAAACTTTACAAATCATTGATACATACTGCCAACTCTTATATTTGTGTTAAAAATGGGCTTTAAATCTGTTTAAACAGGCATGTTGTAAGGCTAGATTAGGTGGAAAGGCTTTTGTATCAGAGCATCTTTTTTTTTTTTTTGAGAGAGAGAGAGAGAGAGAGAGAGAATTTTTAAAATATTTAGTCTTTAGTTTTCGGCAGACACAACATCTTTATTTGTATGTGGTGCTGAGGATTGAACCCGGCCCGCATGAATGCCAGGCGAGCAGGCCACCGCTTGAGCCACATCCCCAACCCTGTATCAGAGCATCTTGAGAAAAGCAAGACAAATAAGAATCAGGAGGAAMAGAAAAGAGAAAAATGGCTTCAGAGACTGCATCCTTTTGGGAAAAAGTTGATTGTGCTGATGCAGCTCTGTCCCAGGAGAACCTGGTCTAAGTGCTTCCCTCAAGGAGGAGGATAAACATCCCAACTCCTGGCTCCCAATAAACTGAATTTTATTGCAGAGCTCATAGTTCCTCTAGTCTCCATCTGAGGCTGGTGATCAAATTCAACATCTGTGGGTGGGGCTGGCTTCAGAATCAAGGTAAGAACTAGGCTGGTGTTGTGTCATGCAGAGTAGAGGTGACAGCAGTCTAGACTATTGAAATATGTGGTCAAAAAACCATGAAGACCAGAGGTGCAAATCTTCTTGGTTCTAGCAGACGTGGAAGATGAGGTCTGGGAAGTGAGGGTGAAAATACACTGACTGGGTTAAGGGAGTTAGCTAAGGGTAAAAAGAAGCAAGCAACACGATACATGTAGGGGTCCTAATGACTAGGCTAGAGATGAGGAAACGTAAAGAATACTAACATAGACTACAGACTTCTTTTGGAAAGATGTGAAAGGAATTCTGATAATGGCTTGTCCCAAGCCTGACACTGGARAGGCTTTGTAGAGGTAGCCAGGGCATCTTGGCAGAGGTGAGAGAAAAACTAAGGAGCTGATTTTCCTCCCTAGAAAGAAAAGTCAGGGGCTTTAAGAGGAGGACTGGAATGGAAAAAAATGTTAACGAGGATAAGATATATCTTTAGCAACTGAGCTTTTAATTTCTATTAAAAATACCCTTTAATTTAATATTATTGGAAACCCATGAAGAGGGTATTTTATTATTTGCTTTCATTTCTTTATGGTCATGAAAGTGGGATGGATATGGCCCTCTTCTCAGAAGGTGCTTTCTGAGCCCATTCCCTTGGGACATTTGCTAAATCTAGTTGCTTACATGTCCACCATTCTTTCAAGCCATAAGCCCAGAGAGGACTCAAGGATACAGCAGGATGCCTGAAAAAAATAGTCATTGTTCAAAATATTCTTGYTAATGAAGAAAGAAATGTATGGTAGGAAGTAAATAATGAAGTTAYATGCTAATTTCCACCAGTAGAAGATTTTTCTAAATATCAAGAGCTGTAACCCACCCTTCCTCCAGAAATAATCTCTCTTTTTAAAATTTCAGTTATTCCAGAGCTTAGTTCCCAAGGCATAAGCACAAGGAATACCTTATCTCAGGTACACAGTTCTGGCCACTATTACCTCTTTAAGATCTCTTGACCTTCTTCATAGGTGAGCAAACTCTGGTGAAGTCAGAGAGATTCCAGATCTTATTTCTATCACTTACTGGCTTTTGACAGTTAGAAAATGATTCATGTGGTGTGAGTCTCATTTTCTTTATGTATGAAATGGGGATAATATTCAGTTTCTAGCATGGATATCTACTCCTTGCATGACGAATATATGAAATACACTGTGCATAATATAGTCCCTGGCATAAAGCAATGCTTAATAAATATTAGTTTAATTTTCCTGACTGTATTACATCCAGATCCCTTTTAGTCCTGGAATACCACTGACTATTTAGTCTCCAGTGCCCATAGTCAATTAATGTTCCAATAAACATGCACAGGTAATTCTTCTAATTTAATCATTTTAAACTATGGCTTTGAGATATCTGATAGTTGCCCCCTGTGTGAAAGATGGGGTCTGAGGGTTAAGCTGTGATAAAGACCCTTAACTGTTAGTGAATTCAAAGGATTGGATGGTGTTTGATGGCACAAAGGATTTTCAGGCAAATACAATACAGGGTAGGTATGGGTCATAAAAGAATGGAAATGGTACCTGGAAGACTAGAAGAGACTCAAGGGCCCAGGTACAACTCTCCTTGAGGGAAGGGATTAAATTTTGTTCTTCCAATTGGTCAGCTAGGAACTTTTGCATAGTAGGCACATTAAAAAGCTGAAAAAAGTCTCTCTTGATTTCAGACATCTTGCTAAAATGTCCCATTACATCCTGAGTCCCAGGATCCAATGGGCATTCAATAAAATACGGGCAGTGATGACAATCAACTGTTGGGAGTCAGGTCTTCACAAACTGTGCCTCCAGAATCTCAGAATGTGACCTATTTGGAAATAAGGTCTTTGCAGATGTAATTAATTAAAATGAGGTTATACTGATTTAGGGTAGACCCTAAATCCATGATTAGTATCCTTGTAAGGAGAGGAAGGATGGTCAGAGACGCACAGAAAAGGCCATGTGAAAATAGGCAGGGACTAGTATGATGCTTTCATGAGCCCAGCAGCACCAAAGTCACCAGCAGCTACCAGAAGTTGGAAGTGAGAAGGATCACAAAGGTGATCCTGCYGAATACCTTGATTTTAGACCTATAGCTTCCAGGAGCATGAAAGAAGAAATTTGTTGTTTTAGATCCCTTATAAACAGGAAAAATCTCCCTTGTACAACCACCTTCCCTGCTCTCTCCAAGAGTTCCTATGCACCTGCAACTTGGCTTGAAATATTTCAGGAGCATGTTGTGATTGCTGTGTATGTTCACCTTTTCATATACTGCTTCTCTTTTTCCCCCCATTCACTTTACAATAAACTACTAAATTTCAAGGTCAAGTTCAAGTTTCATCTTTTAATAGTTTTCCCGGACATAAGTAATAATTTCCCCTGTGTATTCATAATCTTCTGTTTGTAAGTGGAATTTATAGAATAATGTTTCTTACTTTGATTAGTTGGAGATCATTCTAATTGGCTATCACTCATTAAAGCATAGATCATCTTTCATTTTTGCAGATTTCCTCTTATTTATGGATTCAAAGAAGATGAGGGCATGGACTATACCTAAATCTCCTAGTGATGTCACAAAAATATTAAAGGAAATATGTATTTTCATGTGCCTCTGTGAATAGAAGTGGAAGTGTCTCTTGGTCTTTCCAGGTATGACCACCTTAAACCACACTGGCATTAGCCACACAGTCTTCCACTTGWTGGGCATCCCTGGCCTAGAGGAGCAGCACATGTGGATTTCCATTCCCTTCTTCATTTCCTATGTCATTGCCCTGCTTGGGAACAGCCTGCTCATCTTCATTATCCTCACAAAGCGTAGTCTCCATGAACCCATGTACCTCTTTCTTTGCATGCTGGCTGGAACAGACATTGTCCTCTCCACCATCACAGTACCTCAGGCCTTGGCCATCTTCTGGTTCCATGCTGGAGAGATTTCCCTGGATTGCTGCATCACTCAGGTCTTCTTCGTCCATTCCACCTTTGTCTATGAGTCAGGGATCTTGCTGGTGATGGCATTTGATCGCTATATTGCCATTTGCTACCCACTGAGATATACCACTATTCTTAAAAATTCTAGGATTAGAAAAATTGGAGTGGCTCTCTTTCTGAGAAGTTATGGTACCATATTCCCTATAATATTTCTTCTGAGAAGATTGACTTTCTGCAAACATAATATTATTCCACACACCTGTTGTGAACACATTGGCTTGGCCAAATATGCTTGTAATGACATTCGAGTAAACCTTTGGTATGGTTTTTTCATCCTAATGGCAACAGTGGTCTTAGATGTTGTGCTAATTTTTGTTTCCTATGTGCTGATTCTTTGTGCCATCTTCCGAATGCCTTCTCAAAATGCTCGCCACAAAGCCCTCAACACATGTGGCTCCCACATCTGTGTCATCATCCTGTTTTATGGGCCTGGAATCTTCACAACCCTTACTCAGCAGTTTGGACGCCACATTCCACCTCATATCCATATCTTGCTGGCTAATGTCTGTATTCTGGCTCCACCTATGCTGAACCCCATCATTTATGGGATAAAGACCAAACAAATCCAGGAGCAGATTGTCCATATGTTTATAAGGCAGAAGTAAATTTGGTTTTAAAACTGAGTTTTCAGAGTCTATAGCCATTTGTTGAGTTTGTCTGTGGAAATGGAAATCCACTGGAATGGATTAACTGGGTATAACTGTAGACAGATAGGGTGAGGCTGGAGGAGGTGGGTCATTTTTGCATTGGGAAAAGTCTAATGTGGTTCTTGAAGGGTATAATGGGAGAATGTTAAGGAAGGGTAACTTCTCCAAAATCAATGTCTCTCCATAAGGGCATTCAAGGTGTTTAGTCACCTAATTCATACGGCACAGCCTTCTCCTAATGAAGTGTTCTAGAGTCATCTAGATTGAGACCCCCTCGTATGCATGGCATCTACAGCCTTTGTATTAATTCTCTCTGCTTTTGCTGTAGCACTGAATGTCTCTGAGTGGGACCTGAGAGCCCACACTTAGCCATTCCTTCTTGGGACCTGGTTGTTAGTTTGGGTTTTTGTCTCTTCTTTCTATTGTGTGTCATTAATTTGTGTGAGGAGCAAGATGTGCTATCTTTAGACTGAGCTTCATTTAGCAGCAGTCTCTAGCCTGTGAACCTGTAGTGTCCCTATAGATTCCCAGCTTCTCACAGAAAAGGGGGAAGCAACAATAGCAACAACAGATACAAATAATACACACTATTGAAGTAAATGCCCAGTGCCTACCATGACGTCTATAATGGTCATTATCACAAAAACAGGAATGGTGGGGTCAGTAGTTTCCAATAGCAAAAACAATAAATAATCATGAACTAGATCTAACATAAAAATAAGCGGGTGTCAACTATGTCATCTACAGCAATAAAAATTGCAACAAAATGAGTGGTGGGTCAGAACTATTTAGAACCAAATAGCTCTAAAAGATGCTAAAAACATCATTCCTTAATAGAAAAGAAAATGTGATAGAAATGAAGAGGGGAGTTTAGAATGTTTAAAATGTGACTAAACAGAGGAAATGCAGAAGAGATGTTGTACCAGTGATGGTTATGAAGAAAGAGAAAAATAGGAAAAACAAAGAAAAGGAGAGAGAAAGAGAAAAACCAGAGAATTTGGCTGCTATTAGAAGAAGGAAGGAAAGAAAGAGAAAAAAGAGAAACAAATAAAAATAAAACAAGAAAAATAATGAAACCCCAAACCTAACCCTAAAATGACAAGGCAAAGAAGAATAACTACATTAAAAAATTACTAAAAATGAGAATTCATCAGCATACCACTATTTATTTCAGCATATTATAAAAATCAAGTTATGGAAACAGCCTAAATATTCATCAACAAATGTAATGGAAAAAGAAAATGTGGCATATATACACAATGGAATTTTATTCAGTCATAAAGAAAATGAAGTGATGTCATTTGCTGGCAAATAGATGGAACTGGAGAACATTTTTTTTGAAGTGAAATAAGCCAAACTCAGAAAATCAGAGGTTGAATGTCTTCTTTCATATGTAGATGTGAGAGAGAAAAAAGGACTAAAAATGGATCTCATGAAAATAGAAGGGAGAGCAGGAGASAAAGGAGATGGAGGGGAAGGAGAGAGGAGGTACTGGAGAGTAACTTTTACCAAATTATGCTATGTGCACAGATGAATATATCACAATGAATCCCACTTTTATGTCTAATTTTAATGTACCAGTTAAAAAATAGAAGGGAAACCTCACTGTCATGTACATTCACAAGAAATTAAAAAAAAAAAGAATCATGTAGAGTGCTGTCCCCACAAGTGTTTACAGATCTATGATATTTATAAGCTGGTAGCTCTTTTTGTAATAAACATTGATACAAAACAAGACTATGTTAGACTCTTCAGACAACCAGAAGGGAAAATTATGGTCCAATGTCCTTCATGAACATAGATGCAAATGATATAAAAAATATAAGCAGATCAAACTCAAGTATAAATAAAAATAGTTACAACATCATTATTAGTTAGATGTTATTCTAAGAATACAAAGTTGATTTAACATAGTAAATTTAATCAGCATAATGTGAGAGAGAAAAAAGGACTAAAAATGGATCTCATGAAAATAGAAATAAATCATCAGATTATGTAATCAACTCAATGGATGCAAAACAAAAATTTAATAAAATTAAATACCCATTCATAATAAAAAGGGAATAGTGGAGAATGTCCTTAAGAGTATAACTTTCTTAAGAGTATAAATAACAACAACAACAACAACAACAACAACAACAAAAGGTCTGTGAATAATGGCACTTTTGTTTTTTCTTTCTCTATTCTTAAACTTTCCTCTTATTTCATTGGCTCACCTTCTAGTACAATGATGAATAAAAACAGTAGGGGGCGATTTTATTTCATTTCAGATCTGGGTGGGGAGAGCTCAGTATTTCTCCATTAAATGATAATGTTTGTTCTATTTAAGTCAATGATGGTCCACACATATTATCTTGCTCCTGTGTGATTAGATGAGTTTGTGCCCATTTTAGTTCATGAAATATACTCTATRATGTTTGCACATGATGAAATTATTTAATGATACATTTTTCAATGTGTATCCCCATCATTAAGGGATACATGACTGTAAAAAATTTGTATGGTCTTCATGGCTATTTACAGCAACATGGGAATGGTTAYAGCTATGAAAATACTATTCCCTTTGGCTGATGAGGACTGCAATAAGTCACCTGATGTTCATTGTAAAATAAATCATCATCGAGTTTGATAATTTTATGTTCCACTTTCCTTTTCTTTTCTTCCTTCATATCTGACTATAGAAATAACACATAAGCATTATGGAAGGAAAGATACCAAGTAATTAAAAAATGGCATACAAAATGAAGTGAAAAAATCTCATCTTCCATAAATAACTTTGTGCTTAAATCCTTCTTAATACATATAATTCTGGGAGACTATTAACACATTTTTATTTGTTCATATTTGTAAAACAATTAATTTTAGCTTTCTTATAATCATACATATCTATATCTTTAGCTAAAGACTCCAAATTACAAATTTTTAGCAGCACCTGAATAAATTAAATTTCAAATTTTATCTTAATTACAAGGAAATATTTTCTAAGAATAGATACCTATGCAAATAAAATGTAAGGGCTGGGGTGTAGCTCAGTAGTAGAGTGCTTGCCTAGCATATATGATGCCTTGGGTTTCTTCTTCAGTACTTGAAGAAAAATAAGAGAAAGTGCACATGGATTTGTTTTGTTTTCTCCATACATTTCAAAAAATTGGTTCTTTTTAGTTATACATGACAGTAGAATCCATTTTAAAATAATTATAAAAGCATAGAATATAATTTGTCCTAATTCATTCTGTAGAACTCCCCCTTCCTTTTCCTTCCCCCACCCCCTGCTCCTTTCTTCTATTGCTCTTTCTGCCACTTACCCATAGTTATTTTTTTTTTGAATTAAATTTTTGTGGATACACATGATGATGAGATTAACTGTGGTATATTCATATATGTACATAGGAATGTTATATCAGATTCATTCCAGTATCTTATAAAGACTAGAAAAAATGAATACATTAACAGTGGTTTAGTGGTTTTGATTTGATTTTTCCTATTATTTGAACATTTCTACAGAGCTTATTATTTATATACAGAGAGAAAAGAAACTTATCCTTGTCTTTTGAAGTGGTAGAAGTTTGTAGTCAAACCTGACATGCTCTGGCAGAGAAAATGTCACGATGTAGCACTCTACTTTACCTTGGTGGCAATCAGTTCAAATTTCAGGAGCAGACTCAAAAGGCTTGGTAGCTTGGATTTTTGAAATTTGAACAACATTGAATTTTTAACTGTTTAATTTTATAAATTAATTTTTAAAACCCTACTGTTTTTACTATTGGGAGTAGTTCATAAAAGAAAAAGTATCTTGAGGTCCTGAAAGTAGAAAGTACATAATCTTTTTTTTATACATTTATTTTATTTTTATGTGGTGCTGAGGATTGAACCCAGTGCCTTCCATATGTGAGGCTTGTACACTACCACTGAGCTACAACCTCAGCCTGAAAGTACATAATCTTAARGGACAATCCTTTAAATACATTTAAGTTTATGAATAACACGTTGGTCTTTCTAATTTTCATTTTGTTATGGACTGGTGGAAACATTATTTGGAAGATTCTGATTCAAAGAAAGAAAAAAACAACACTAAAATGTAAAATTATACAGGGATAGCAAATGGCATATACATTCTTAATCAGTAGGAAAGCACCTAGATTCCCAATAAAATTATTTTTGAAGTAGAGAGTATGGAACTTCTAGAGCCATGAGTCAAGCTTGGCTTCTCTCTACAGCAGTGTTTCTTCAAGTGGAGGTGTTTATTAAATAATCAGCATTCAAAGCTCCAACCCAGACTAATGTTATTGAGTCTCTGGGAATGAGTGCATATGGATTTCAACTAATGGAGTATAGATTTAAGTAGGTCTAATTTTTCTTAAAAGAGGCATAGGGATTTCTCAGGAAAGATTATTTTGTTGGGAGTAAGAACCTTTAGGATGGAAAGCYACCCATTTGTACATATAAAATTTGAGGATGGAGATAAAATAACCAGGGAGGTACTAGAGAACAAGTGTCAGGAGAAAAATGTGGTAGGAAACAGACATATGACTTGGCCCGTATGGACTGTGGGTAAATTGGTAGAGTCTGAACCCTAGGGAACTGATGCCCTGGAATAAAAGTGACCTCCCGAGAACTCTTGAAGATAATCACTCTGCAGAATCTGATCTTCAACGAAGCTTCCCACACTCACTGATTCCATTTCTGCTTTAAAAGACTTGGTCCGAGTCTGATGACTGATTTGGTCATCTATAAGGTGAGATTCTAGGAACAGGGGCAAGCAGGGCTAGAAATTGGTACTCCTCCCAGGCCCAGGGCAAGGAAACACATTTAGAATCCTGGGAGCACCAGGATTTTTGCTGGAGTCCTATGAACTGATGGTAGAAGAGAACAATGACCAAAATTTGGGTTAATGGTTCATAATAGAAGGTATTTATCAGAGGATTTTAAAAATCTTATGCCAACTTCAATGCCAACTTTCCTAGACACTTCTCTAAAAAGAGAGGAGTCAGTTCAGTTAAACCACCCTATGTTCTCCAAGGGGAAAATCCAGTGGCCAAGGCAAGAAGTGACTGTTTCCAAAAATTAAAATGAGGGAGAGAGAAAAGAGAACTTATAGTTAYGGCTCACATCTTTGTTTTAGGAGAAGAGATAAGCACTTCACTAAGAAATTTTATTTTTGTGAATATAATGCATAAGCATATTTAAAAAAATTCTAGACATTTTATAAGGCTACCTCCAATTTTTGCTCCTTAGAAATAACCATTTTAACACTTACAGATTTTTCTTTAGTATTTACTTCCATGGGGAAAATAGTATGTTTTTACTGTTATTTTTTGATTTATATATGTTTGTAATCATTTTTGTATGTCATTCACCAACTTTCTTATATGGAACTCAAAAATGTAGCTTTCTTACCCATACCACAGCTTTCTCATCACACATACACATTTAGACACACAATAACTTTAATTTCCTGATTTATTAGTAAAGTTACATCAAGACTTTTATAGATGGGTATTTATGTTTACATTAATTGATTCTTTATTTACTTAGTCAGTTCTCATTCATTTGCTTTCAAAATGGTGCTGCCATTTCTTCTGCTCTCTATATTCATGAATGTGTTGTTCTTTTACTGACACTTTAATGGGGTCTTATGAGGAGATGGTGTTAGTGGAGGCATCCAACTTGATATCTTTAACTAGAAAACTCCAAAATTACTTACCATCTGTGTTTTTGTCTTTCTTAGGTTAAAATCCAGATAGAGTCCACATCAGCCTGCCTCAGGAATGGCTGGCTTCAACCATACTGGTGTCAACCATGCAGTCTTCTATCTGCTGGGCATTCCAGGCAGAGAAGACCTACATATGTGGTTTTCTATTCCCCTGTGCATCTCCTATGTCTTTGCTCTCCTTGGAAATGGTCTGCTCATCTTCATTATTCTGACAAAGAGCAACCTCCATGAACCTATGTATCTTTTCCTCTGTATGCTGGCTGGAATTGACATTGCCTTTGCTACCACCACAGAACCTAAAGCATTGGCCATTTTCTGGTATAATAATAGGGAAATTTCTCTTAATGGATGCATTGTCCAGCTGTACTTCCAGCATACTTTCTTCATTTCTGAGTCAGGCATCTTGTTGATGATGGCATTTGACTGCTACATTGCAATATGTTACCCTTTGAGATACACTATGATACTCACTCACTCCCTAATTGGTGTGGCTGTTTTCTTGAGAGCACACTGTGCAATCTTCCCCATAGTATTTCTTCTAAAAAGGCTAACTTTTTGCAGAAATAACATCCTCCCACATACATTCTGTGAACACATTGGCTTGGCCAAATATGCTTGTAATGACATTCAAGTAAACATCTGGTATGGCTTTTTTGTCTTAATGTCAACAGTGATCCTAGATATGATCCTTATTCTTGTATCCTATGTTCTGATCCTCTGTGCTGTCTTCTACATCCCTTCTCAAGATGCTCGCCACAAAGCTCTCAACACATGTGGCTCCCATGTCTGTGTCATTGTCCTTTTTTATGGGCCCGGGATCTTCTCAGTTCTCACTCAGTGCTTTGGACACCACATTCCACTACATATCCATATTCTGCTAGCCAACGTCAGCATGCTTGCTCCACCTATGCTGAATCCCATCATTTATGGGGTCAAGACAAAACAGATACGAGATCAAGTGGTTTATGTGTTGTTTCCAAATCAGAAATGACTTTGAGGATGGGAGAGATTAATTTTTCATAATAGCTTTCCATGAGATATATCTTGGGAGGAGTAAATAAAAGATTAAGAAATGACTCACTAGGAAAAATAATTCATTGGGTTCTGGGTCTCTAAAGCAACTTACAGAGACTCTGAGACTTGTCTTTGTCATCAGTCTGAAAGTAGTGCGTATGGGTTTACTGGATACCGATGACTCATTGTTTGGGGATGGGGGGTTGCTTTCTAGTAGTCATGCCTAACCCTGAAATGTTCAGCTCAAATTTGGGAATGGATTATGTAATATTATGTATATTATGTAATATTAAAAGACTTGTTAAGATAAATAATAAGTTTTTCATCTAGAGCTATGTCAAGTGCTGAGACATCTCAGTGCATTYCTGGCAATCACCTAAAATCTTTATTTTTTTCATATGTATTCTCTTTTTATTTTCCCCATACACTAGTAGGATTTATTTGAACCGTGTAAAGCCTGTTACATGCCTTATGTATTTTTTTGGGGGGGTACCTGGGATTGAACCCAGGGGTGCTTAACTACTGGGCCACATCCCCAGCCCTTTTTTTTTTGTATTTTATTTGGAGACAGGGTCTCTCTGAGTTGCTAAGTGCCTCTGCTGAGGCTGGCTTTGAACTCGCAATCCTCTATTCTCTGCCTCTCGAGTTGTTGGGGTTACAGGCGTGTGCCACCATGTCCAGCTGTAATTTTAATCTTTATATTAGACTCATTGTTTCTACTACAGTATTCTCATTTTATAGACATATAATCTGAGGCTCATAGTAACATCATAACTTTCCAAAGATATTACTATTTCTTGAAGTTATTTTCTCGGGTTGTTTAAATTTTAATTTTTCTTTCTTTCTTTTTTCTTTTTTTTTTTTTGTTTTACTTGGTTGTTGGTTTTTGTTTTACCTAAAGAAATAAATGTTTTCAAATCCATTTTCCTCTGGGTTTTATTGTTTTAATCTTGGTATATTTTCTTCAATCTAAATTTTGATTCTAACAGATTTTCTTATAGCTTTTTTAGGGCATACTTTTTATATTTAATCTTTCAAGACAATATGTTGATAAACATAAAGCAATGTAAGGAAAACATAAAAGTCATTACAGCTCAAGCTACCATGATTCTCCTTGGTTACTGGTTCTTGTGTTCAAGCTGTAAAGATTTAGACATGTCACTCGGAGTGGACMTGTCACTCATGAGTTTGTTAGAAGAAACAGCAAAAAAGGGGAAAGGAGGAAACCTTCAAAGGAGAGAATGGGTCCTCTCAGGAGAGGGATAGTGCTCTCCTCCTGCCCTCCTGCATTTTTGAGGGTCCTAGGGAAGTTTAYAGGAAATCCCACCTGGGGTCACTGCTTGACTTCTGACTGACAGCAGGATTGCAACAGAAATCCCCACTGCACATGGTCTTACTCCATGGAGGGGAGTAATGACATGCCAAAGATCCAAGATAACTCTGGATCACCTTGGTCCATACTGACCGGTTCTAGTTGGAATTTGCTTTTATAGATGTTATGGTTAGGGGGCTTGCTTCTCATTATCATATCTCCCTAAGTTCTGGAATCTGGTCTGTGTAAGGGAGCTCCCCACCCCCACCACCAATATCAGCATTATCTGTTCTTGTGGGCAGTAAAGAACCTATCTGTGCCTGCCTTTCTCCTGAAGACAACATGTTGTTTGCTGAGGAATGTAAAATGTAACATATCCTATTGACTTAAGTCAGACAGGGCTGCAGGCAAATTGCATTTGAAAATAAAGTATATGGCAGGGGTGGGGGTCAGCATAGTAGACTCAATTTGTAGATTTTTCCCCTTAACTCTATGTTCCATTGCTCATGTCTGTCTGTTACCTGTCAGAATGACCAATAATTAGACAACTGAGACATAATTTTGAAATTGATTATACTGTCCAATCTTTTAGAACTTTTATATGATTGCATCTTTCTGCATAGGTGATATAAACTTTTTTCTAACATATGTCATGCAATTAAAAATGCCATGCAATTAAAAACATTTCCTCTTGTAGTATGAATTCAGAAATAAGCAGAACAAGCTTATTAGTTATACTCTTCATACTTTCCATATAAATACTAATCATTCAGCAATGATAGGAAGAAGGGTTAAAATTTCTCATAGTAATTAATATTTATCAGTTTGTTGTAATTCTTGTAATTTTTGCTCTGGAGCAGCTGAATCTCCTAAACACCGTACCTTTGACATGTTTTATACTGTTTAATTAAACAGGAATGTGACTGTGTATGTTTCTATTGGTTAGTGCCTCTTGGTAAGCTATTTTATGTTCTTTACTCATAAGATTCTTTTTGTCCACATGGTTTAGGTATATGTCCTTTAATACTTTAAAACTGATTTTTTAAAMCCAAATCTGATAATCTCTGAATTTTTTCCTGTTTTTATTGGTGCATTATAGTTGTGCATATTGAGGGGATTTGTTGTTACATGTTTGTACATACCTACAACATAACAATATAATTTGGTCATTATCACTCCCCAGCACATAATCTCTGAATTTCTTTCACTTCRCAATATGCATTTAAGGTTTCTCCATGCCTTTTCATGCTTGAGTATTCACTTTTTATTATTGTCGAATAATATTCCATTGTATTCAGATACTAGAGTTTCATCCATTAATCTGTTGAAACACATCTTCAGTCATGAATAAAGCTTATCTAAATATCTGTGTGCAGTTTTCTGTGCCGACATAAGTTTTCAATTCATTTTGGTAAATACAGTACTGATGAACATAATTGCCAGATCTTATAGTAATATTATATTTAATTTTGTRAGGAACTGCAAATTGTGTTCCTATGTGACTGTTTTATTCAACATTCCCACCAGCAACCAATTTCTGTTGCTTCACATTCTCATCAGCATTTGTGGCTGTCAGTGTTTTGGATTTCGATTGTTCTAATGGGTGTATAATGGTATCTCATTTGCTATTCTTTAATTGCTGTACTGTTGAGCATCACTCAGATGTTTATTTGCCACTTCAATGTTCTCTCACCAGAACAATTATAGGTAAATTTGGTAGATACTGCAAACTTTTGCTCYTTTTTTCTTCTTTTTTTCCCAATAAGGAAGAAGGAGGAATGAGTGAGAGCAGATGAAAGTATGTTTTTAAATTTAGTGTCATGAATCTGTATGGGTTTCTAATCAGTCAATTTTGATTTAATAGATAACTTTTTTTTTTTTTTTTTTTTTTTTGCTAAAAGTAAACAAGTAGGTGCTGGAATCAGAGTTGGAAGTTTGAAGAAGAGGCATATTTGAATTTTTAATGACATGGGAGAGTGAGCTGATGTTAGCAAACATGTAAGCTTGCTGCGCTCTGTTGATAGTCTAGATTGGCAATCATTTTGATCTCCATGTGACTACACAAATGTGGAGGTTGATTTGGTTCAGGATAACATTGGGTTGACCAGAGAGAAGATTTAGAGAATGTTAACACACTTAAAAAGAAAATAATTATAATTAAGAGTGTGGAGTCTAAACTTGAGAATGTAAAACACACAGAGTGAATTGGTGGTTTAGATTTGTAGATTAATAATCTTAGTGAGGTTAAAAAATAGGGATAGTAAGCATGTACTTGGGCGAGTAACTGTGACTAAACAGCAACATATTTGAATTAGTGAATTTGGAAGTAGAGAAAAGATGTGGAGTGAAGGGAAATGCATTTGGAACTAAGGAGGAAATGGAAGCAAGAGCACCGAGTGAAGATGAATGGAAAGAAAATATGATTGACACAGATCCTTTTATTGTTTCCCCAATAAAAAAGGAATAGGTGAGAACAGATACGAGTATGTTTAAAAGTTTACTGTCACAAATCTGTGTGAGTTTCTAACCAATCAGTTCTGATTCATATACACACACAGACACACACAAGAAAATATTATTCAGTCTGTTATTTGCAAAAACATGGATGAACCTGGAGGACATCACACTAAGTAAAAGAAGCCAGATGAAGGAAGAAAAATACTCTATGACACATACTTATAAGTGGGATCTAAAATAGTCAATTTCATAAAAGCAGAGAGTAGAATGGTGGTTGCTAGAGGTAGAGTGAGGGGGAGAAGGGGCAGATGTTGTCTATTGGGTACAAAGTTTCAGTTAAGCAAGATAAATAAGTTCTGGAGATMTAATCTACAGCAAAATGACTGTAGTTAAAGTACTATTGCATACTGGAAATTTGCTAAGGAAGTAAAGGTAATTATGTTAAGATGCTGGATATTTTAATTAGCTTATGGGAGTTATAACACACACACATCAAAACATCCAGTTGTACACTTCAAATATATACAATTTTTTTTGTCAGTTATAACTCAGTAAGTCTGGGAAAAAAGAGTACAGAGTGAAAAATAAGTTTTCTACATGGACACTGAAGGGTTTATGTATCAGAGTCAAAGTCTTGCATAAGTCTGAGGGAATTTAGAAGGCCTGCAGCCAGCATTGAGGAGTAGAAGAAGATAGATAATATGAGTCTCAAAAGAGCAATTCCTTCTACAGAAAAGTGAGCAAGCATTAGTTTGGAACAAAGCCTAGGAAATATTCTGCAATGATTTAATATCTTTAAAATATATCAAGCACTTTCATGGGTTGTAAATTGCATCACAATATTAAYGGACAAAAATACTCAACTAGGGGATTTTGCTTTTCATTTTTCTTGACTTTCTTTTTCTTACCAGCTCATAAATTCCACAAAGGTACTTGCCTTCTTCACTTGAAAAGTGCCTGGCACAGAATGGGTTTTCTTTTTTTTTTAATATTTATTTTTTAGCTTTAGGTGGACACAATATCTTTATTTTATTTTTATTTGGTGCTGAGGATCGAACCCAGTGCTTCACGAATGCCAGGTGAGTGCGTTACTACTTGAGCCACATCCCCAGCTCCCGGAATGGGTTTTCAATAGAAAACATTTGATTGTTTGCAAAAAAGATCTATAAATAATATCAAAATATGAAAAATTTCCATTAGCAACAAAA